GGCTTTTAAGAGGCCCTCTATGTCATGTTGCTACCTTTGTAATTCCTTCATTAGCAAGGATATTTCACCAGGGTGCCAACGCGGTCTTACATTCCAGGTTCTGTTAGAACTAGAGAGGGGAGGTGATTTTTACCTCTTAGACATGCTGATAATAAAATACTACATATAGTTCTGGCTTCCACACTTTAAAAAGGATGCAGGAGAATTTCGCTGGATCAGAAAAAAGTTACAAAAAGTCATTTGAGGGCTGTGGGAGATGTGTTCCAAGGAAATGTATAGGGAGCTGAAGGTGTTTAGCATATCAAAAGGAAGATCAAGAAGCAATATGATTATGGTATACGAGTACCTTCACTAGAAGAAAATACGGGGCACTAAAGGCTTTTTCAACCGAGTAAAGAAAGGCATAAAAAGAACCAAAGGCCAGATATATTCAAATTAAAAAATAAATCAGAAATGTATTTCTAACCGTTTTGGCAATTAACACACCGAATACGGTTTCAGGGAAGTGGTGGGTTCCCCTCGAATCTTCAAATCCTCCTCGGCAGGAGCTGTACCCTGTTTCTGCGGCGCTTTACCTGCGGCACTCGGGCACGCCAGCCTGAGGCACTCGCGTCGGTTTTCCCCCTTCCGATCGCTCAAGGCGATCCAGATGCAGCCGGTGCCGGATAATGTTCATGTGCCGAGCTGGTGCGGGGGGACGTACCCCCCCGCCTCGTCCCGGGGGTTCCAGCCAGCCGGGGGACCGATCCTGTGCCCCTGCCCACCACTTCAGTGCTGACCCAGGCGTGCGCCGAAGGGACCGTGTGGCGTGGAGCAACGGAGTGACGCGAAATACTCAAACTGCCCTGAAAACTGAAACTCCCTGAAATTCGGTTGGTAGCCATGCTTGAAAAATCCATCTGTGGAGTTAATGGCTATTTTTGCCATAATTCTTCGGGCTGACCTCTTTGCAGGTGGAGAGCATTCTCTTTCGGCAGCGGCGTGTAAATAATAATTCCATGAGAAACTGAATTGTCCAAAATTTCTCTTACCTCCTGCTTCCAGTGTGACAGCCGCCGGTCGTGTGCAGCTTACGGCCTTCTCAAAACGGCTGCCATTTTTCATGGTCCTCCATCTGAGAACGCAAGACAAAAATGTGTACCACCACGCTACTCGTTCTGCACCGCTTTCTGGTAACGTTCAAGTTCACCATCATCCTCAAAGCATCCTTGTTCTCCATGGAAACAGGTGTAGGTGACAAATGTCTTTTAGGAGAACATCGTAGCTGATGCAGAAGTTGGCATTGCTAAAGCTTTAAAGCTTGGAGTACTCGTATATACTCTCAGTAAAATGTGAAGGAGCGTTGTCAACCTGAACTTGCCAAAGCTGTTCATCTTCAGAAGTATTCTGTTAACTTCGGTGGTTGTAAGGAAATCTAATCCAAAATGGAGTTTTATGGGTTTCCTACTGACCTCTGTAAAGGTTATTCTAGGGTAGGGTTAGTGCTTAGGTAATGCCTTAATAAAACCAGGCTTCCTTCAGTGTTGCGGCCCCATGCAAAGATCTGGTGAGGGCAAAGTCAATCTGGCAATAACTGGTTTAGATTTTTTTTTTGCAGGAAAATTTGCTGTGAGAGCAATCAAAGTTGATTTGGGTTTTTTTGGCGGGGGGGG